CGAGTGTCGCTGGGGGTATTAATAAGACCTAGGCGAGGCCGAAACTGCTTTTTCACCTTTTTGTGAATGCAAGTCTATGCGAAATTCAACTGAAGCGTCAGCTCCACTCATATCATTATGGGGAAATTTAAATACCAGTCCTTCATCACTTTAAACGAACTAGGGTGAATACATCTCATACCACATTTATTCGTCGGCGATCCCACCAGAGAATGTGACATGAGAAAAGGCCTGGCCTTTATTTATATTCGCATTACTTTAGTGACCAAAGAGCACTCATGACACTGTGACATGGTTAACGTGTCGAGACTTTGCGCTGCACTACCACAACTTGGGTTTGAGTCCCGCTGTGGGCGTCTATGAGGTTTATGTGAGGTCGAAATTCCAGTCCACTTATGCGTGGATAAGAATACATTTTGCGAGACAAGGCACTATGAAATTCAATGTAAACTACTCATATCACTCTGGAAAAATTCACCATAGACGAGCTAGGGTGCATACAGCCCTTAACTTTACCCCATTTTTATTCTACTCCCTGCTTTGGTGCTTTCTCAGGATGCTTTACCTGACAGGCTTACCAGGACAAATCGAAACTCATCGGCTGAGCTGTTAAGTTGCGTCAATCAACCCAGTTAATTTCATGCATCTCAAATAAGGGGTATTTGGCACCTCCTCCGCTCTTTGAAAGATGGTTTTTGAAGCAGTGTCAGATTCGTCCCACCAAACGAAAGATTTTCAACCTCGAGCACATTTCCTTGTTCATTATGGGATTTGGAACTTTGAGCGTATCCGTCCTCACTGAGCTTACGACCGACTTTTAAAAAATTTCTCTGTAGACCAGACTAACTCCCCAAAAGATATAAGGTTTTTCGAATACTCCACTTTAGATCTCCATCATGATCTGATTGGTCGATTCCTTATGTTATTCTCTTTTTTGTAGGCATGCGTGCATACGTGTTTCTATGAGAATGAGTTAGACTATTGACGGTCTTCAATATGAAGACCAAAATGATGCGGCCTTCTATTTTATCGCAGTTTCCATTACCTTTATAGTGTTGATTCAACCTCGCATCAGGGAAACTTTGTTGAAAGAGCCTAGTCCTGTGTTCTCTGCCACAATATTCGTGATGCCCAGTATCAGACCGTTGACTCGATACTTTTCCAAACGTTTCGCCGGCATCATATTCGGCGCCATCATCGGCACAGATTTGTTATTCATACAAGTGAAAAGTAACACTTGGGCTTGTCCAAAGTCAATGGCCAGACTTTGAAAATCACGAATACGATGATGGAGGACACAGGATTAATTACGTTCCACAAAGTTTTCATAACGCTGTAAACAAGTCGCGAAAGCAAAGCCGAACTAACCGTGAAAGAACCAAATTGTTTCAGCGTTTCTAGCACAATAAGAGAGGGTTAGAGACTCAGTAAGTGTGAATAGACCTCATTAGCTCAGCTCAAAAAGGCATATTTCTGGAGTTGCTCAGATTAAATAATTTAGATGTTGTGATATTGAAGGGGGGAGATGTGAAGACATGAAATAGTTGAATTCACCATGAGTGCTGGAGAAATATACCAACGGTTCGACAGAAGGTTGTTAGTGGGATGGACTTCACTTGTCTTTTTGAAGAGTTGTGCTAAAGTTGGTAAGACTTACTGACGATATCGACTACGATGCCGGCGAAACAGTTCGAAGCTGGAAATGATCACAACGACTATGGTTAAGGATTTCAGACAAGATTCGTTCACTTTGTTCCTTCTGTTAACACGACCAAGTTGTGAAAACTAGGTCAAACTACTTCTTTTAGACCCTTTGAAAATTCTACAAGTTATGCAATGCTGGCATTGGTTTATTCCGAATTTCCCGTATTTTTATGCCATTATCTGCCGCATTCAATTTTTTTCATCTGAGGCGTAATCTGTCTAAATATTCACTAATGCAGGCAATTTTACATTTTCATTATCTTGTACTATCCATCCAGCATCAGACACGTTACGAGGAGGAGCGTGAAAAACTGCTAGCAACGATCTGCCATGAGGAGGCTGACAGCGCATTCCGCCGCGAAACGGCACTGTCCCTTGACAATGTGACGGAATGTGGCTTAAATGGAGAGCCCTTGCCGTACGAAATTGCTATCTGGCGAGACGATGCCGGGTTGACTGAGAGATCAAAATATCCACAGGTATTCCCATAAGATACCATCTTTTCTCCTATTCTTTTCCAATTCTTTTTATAAAACACTTTATCTTTCTTCATCATTTTCATCTTTCTCAATTGACTCTCATCAGTGGGTCTTGATGATGCTGTCCTGTAAACTGCGTCAGCATGACTTTGTGTTAGCTTAAAGCTTTTACAAAATCCAGTTCTAGTTTTGCCGATGTTCGTCATATGATGGACGAAATCTTGGCCCGCTTTCGCCTAAACTAAGAAGGGATTTCTCCTATATATATATATAATTATTATTATTTTCCCGTACTATCTTGATTTAATATGAGATGTACTCACCCTATTTCGTTTAAGGGGATGAAGGACTGTTAGTATAATTTTCCCACAATGATATGAGTAGAGCTGACGTTTCCATTTTATTTCACATAGCCTTGCTTTCCCAAAAGTTGTTTTCATCCAGGCACCAGTGGACTGCTGGTAGTCTCGAAACTCTACTTACATACCAAAAATATCTTAATTTAGTTTTGAATTGGAGCTTTTGTAAGAACGAGTTTCAGCTCCGACAATGTCCATCACAGGATGAACGAAAGCCTAGATCAGTTTCATCCGAAACGAGGAATGGCATATATATATATATAAATATATATGTGTGTGTGCGTGTGTATTTGTGATATTCATAAAAACTAAAATTATCTAACATCCTATCTCAGGCCCAGTTTTTGTCATGGGCTCCGCGACCTTTGATCTTTGAACTCGGCACTTTTGTGCTCAGCCACTTCTAGTAGTAAGGAACGACAGGTCCTCGAAATATAACTTTTCTTTGTATATACTTAATTATCCTTAAGCGTATCCTTTTTTCTATCATTATTATTATTATTATCATCATCATTATATTATGTATATTATTATATAGTATTTAATTAATAAATATATATATATATAAGCTAATGCAATTATTAATTATAATTAAATATACACTCGTTATTATTATTGTTTTACCCTTGATACTTTTCTTATCTTTACTCAGCAATCCGATTCCTCATTTAGTCAACAACCGTCCTGCTGCCACTACAGCAACTACCCCATCTCGACCCAAATCTCAAATTGCCAGCGTTTCTCCTCTCCGGTCTTGGCCACCTCTCCCTTGCCAGCCGTGGCACTCTCATCAGCTCCCTTGTTTTCTCCTTCATCTGCTCATATTTCCATTCCTCTGGCCGCTACCGCGGACCCGGAGTCAGCTCCACCGCCACTCTTTCAGCTCAACGCCCTCTCTACACTCCCAACCTCTGCAGAGCCGCCGCCTCCACCATCGAGTAACTTCTCCGCCAGCATCAGTCACTCTATTCCTGTCTTTGCCTCCGGCCTTCACTCGAGCAACCACTCTTTCTTAGAAAATTACACTGCGGCAGATCTTCCCCTCTCTGGCCGCCCTGTCACAGCGAATTCTACGACAGCACTTTTGCCTCCGCATCAACATTTCGGCCGCGACCTTTCACACGCCGTCACCTTTGCCGGACCCCCTTTCGTCATCGATCACTTCTCTATGCTTCTGCCCCCTGCACCGGCCTTTGAACCGGATCAAGCGCCCTCGGCGACCCACCGAATACCATCTTCATCTCACGACCCCAATAACTGGTCAGCTGAAAACCAGTCGCTTTCACGGCTGTCATCCTCCGGCATTCCGGGCTCCATCACTGTCGCAACTGGGTTGCCTGGATCTACTGTCAATACTACACACTTCAGCTGTGTGCCGACCTCTCATATTACCGCCAATCAGGTACATAATCACATTCACATTATTAACCTTAACCCCATTTTTACTCTTTTCAATGCTAATCTATTTATGCTTTTCTTACGTAGGCTTAGATATAAGAAATTATTTCAGCTCATGGAGTCGAACTCCTGATAGTTTTCTCCAGCGAAATTTGTTTAGATCACGAGCCATAAGAATGTCATAGCTCAGGCAAAAGAAGTGGTCTGACCTCGTTTTCGCAACTTGGCCGTGTTGTCAGGGTGACCTAGTTGGAAGAACTTTGTCTGAAGTCCTCTGCTATAGTAGTTATCATAGCTCACTGTGTTGGTCCGTGGACTTGACACATTTACTGGCATCGTCAGTGAGTCTTGTCGGTCTCAGCACCAAGCTTAAACTCGTCAAAGAGACTAGTGTGATTATACCATATCTATACATCTAAAGGAGACTGTGACCCAAATAGCGGCCTTAACATCTTGGCCTCTATATCTACGTTTTTTTTAATTAATCTACTTGAAAAAATATGCCACAAATTTGAACCTCTAATTCATGTCAGCATCTCTTCCTAATAGTTTAACTACCAGTCTCTCGACGAATTTAGCACAAGACCCAATTTCACCAACGGATTTTGCATAATTCACCTGTTGGGTAAAAGCATATTGTAATCTCCTCGTTAGAACGAACCATTATGCTCCAATAATTTAGTGATTTCTTTGCTCCTCAATGATGCTGATCATATGGAATCTTTAATGGCATATTCAGAAAAGATTAGCAATTAATGCAAATCCCACAGCCTATGGATCATGGATCATGGTTCCTATTCTGTTACCATTCTCAGTAGCAAGCTACAACTCGTTAAAGTCACAAGTGAAGTTAATTCATTGACCAACTTTCTGTCGAACGGTTATGCTGTCACTCCTCTTTCTCTCCTGGAGCATCTACCTACTCTCGTCCTATCATAAATTCTGACTGTAGACGTGGCCGTTTTTTGGCGAGTTTAGTGTGGTTTCATCACACCTGTACAAGGACAGAAGCAGAGATATCACAAATGTCTAGTAGACAAGTGGTAAATAAATCTGATTAACTTGTCTCTTCGACGAGTTGTAGCTTGGCGCTAAGACTGGCAGGACTTATTGACGATGCCGGCGAAACGTCTGGAGATGTACCATATCTACGGTCCAACGCTGGATATTATGATAATTACTATAGCAGAGGAAATCGGACAAGGTGCGCCCAACTAAGTCGCCCTGACAGCATGACAAAGTTACCCAAATGAGGTCAGACCACTCCTATACATCAAAAGGAGGCTGTCTCTTTGACAAGAGATCTTGTCTCTTTGATGAGTTCTTAGCTTGGTGCGGCGAACGGCAAAACTCACTGATGATGCCGGCGAAACATTTGAGAATGTACTAAGTCCACTGTCGGAATGCTGGGAATCATGACAACTACTATGGCAGACGACTTCGGACTAGGTGCGTTCTACATAGTCGCCCTGAGTGGGAATCATGACAACTACTATGGCAGACGACTTCGGACTAGGTGCGTTCTACTAAGTCGCCCTGACAACGAGACCAAGTTGCGACAACGAGGTCAACCTATTTCTATAAATCGAAAGGAGACTGCGACCATACTAGAGGCCACAACATCTTTCCTAACTTTATGGTCACAAGGTCCCATGTGGAAACTGGTGTCTGCCTATCCCAAACTACTTAACACTAAAAGCTCCTTTCTTATAAATTAATGGATAAAAATGGCGTTTTGTGTACTTAGCATTTGGCCTTCTTTATTTTACATTTGTTCGACCTATAGTTGTTTTTCGTTTTTTTCAACCCATATTTATTACAATTCTGCATAAGATTACCCTAGCGCCACTAAGGTGACGAAAGGCTGATATATTAATTTACCTACAACGATATAAGCAGGCCTCATATTTCCATTGGACTTTACTTAGTCTTGCTCGTTTAGACTGAAGTTTCGTCCTCGTCCGGAATTGAACCCGGGCAATACAATGTATAATGTCGACATGTTACTACTACGCCGCACTGCCACGCGTGCTCCTGGTTCTGAGGGCAGACTTGGATTTCAAGGAAAGTCAGGGTTCTCCCATATTTCATATTTAGTGGGGTTCTCGAAGAGACAAACATTTAATTTCATCATCTTTCATCACCTTAAACGAAATTGGGTGAATACATCTCATATTACTAATTTACTGGTAGTATCGAAACATTACTTAAATGTGTAAAATAAAATAACGTAGTCGATTGTTATAGCAAATATACGTTTGCCTTATCGACAATACCACCAAAGAATATGATATACCAGACGAGGTCGAGACCGTAGTACATCATAGATGAGAATATGAGATGTATTCACTTTATTTCGTTTAAGATGATGAACATTTAGTTGTTGACTTATCCCACAATTATATGAATAGAGCTGACGTTTACATTGAACTTCATATAGCCTTGCTTTCCCAAAAGGTGTCCTCATCCAGGCTAGACCTCGCATAGATCTTATCAACACCCCAAACGGAAGTCGAACCATTACAATACAGCTTGTAAGTTCGACATGTTAACCACTCTGTTACGTTGCTATGAGTACCCTTT